CAAAGGGAGAGACCCCCCCCAAAAAAAACAAAAAAAAAAAAAAACGTGGGTGGGGGAAAAAAAGAGAAGACCCCAAGAAACAACCCATCCCCACCCCGACCAACCACCCCGCCCCCTTTGTAGTGTAGATAGAAACACAAAAAACACACCAGGGGATTCTAATAATATGTTCCATTCGCCTAAATATGAAAAACCATTATTGTTAGCAATTTATTATTATATTACATATATATATATAATATACTAATCAGTACACTCAGACATTATAATAATAATAATAATAATACCCCACCACAACCCTTAGGCACAAGGAGTAGGAAACAAAAAAAAAAAAAAACCCAAAAAAAAAAACCAAGGTCCAAACCCCCCCCCAGGCACAGTCAAACAACCGCCACATTATAGAACAAGTGTTTGTATATCCTATAAATAATAATAACAAGTCTGAATGTTTGCCAATCCATGAGCAAGATACATGAGCAATTATTTTTGTATGTAACCCATACAAATCACTCAACTAATCAAATAAAAAACATGTGTGCAGTTCACATGCGGTAGAAATGAAACCTTCCGAGATAATAGAAAACACTATATACTGTATTCTGTCTCATTCTCTCGCAGGCTAAATCATAGATGTACCTATATGTTTATCTCATTTTAGTATCGCATTTTCGTTTCTTTCATCAGCTTTCAAATCATAACGATTCGAAAGACGTTTTCACTTTTAAAAGTTAGATTTAGTATATGTTTCACTGCTGGACACTCTTCAAAGAAGGCCATAAGAGCAGCATGATCGCCGCACTACTCCAGCGCATATAGGCGGACTTCAAATTTTCTCAAAGTATGCATTCTCAGACACGCACGTTTCACGATATTTGGCCAGAAGTCGTAAAATTAGAATTAACAATTTCACAGGTGCCAGTAGGAGTTGAACTCGGGTTACTTGTGGACTTTGAAATTAACAAATACACAATATTCATCATCATCATTACAGCCCTTCACAAGTACACTACTGAACTTCCCCAACGAATGCCACAAAGCACGGTCCTGAGTCCCCTACATTCGTCGACTTCCGCCCTACACTTCGCTTACAGGTACGAGTGATATGTGTCTCTCGAGAATATTTCTTTCTTCTTTCGGTTGTCGTTCTTCGAGCTATATGGCTGGCCCATTGCCACTTCAGCTTACTAATCCATTAGGCTATGTCAGTTACTCCGGTTCTCCTGTAAATATCCTCATTTCTATGTTTATCATGCAGAGAAACCCCGACAAAGCCCTCTCCATAGCTGCTGAGCGACCTTGAGCGTCCTCATACGGCCAGCAGTGAAGGACCATATTTCAGATCCATAATTTATCACTGGCAACATGCACTGATTGTACAATATTGTTTTTTAGTTTTGAGGTATACCTGACAAGAAGATGTGTCGCTCCCAAACCCTATTGTGGATATCCTCATTTTTTAATCTATCATGCAGAGAAACTCTAATGCGATATTAAGTATCATTAAATTTTATTGAGTTTAACAAGCTTTGATTCACACACAGTATCAAATGAAATAACTAATTAAAATATGATGTGTTAATTGTTTATTATTTTCAAATAACCCACAAGCAGGCAAGTGCTCTCACATCATAAATCAGACTGTAGATTTATTACCCAATTAATGTAAATAAACTTGGTAATAAAAGCAAAGTAGTGGGAGATAAATATTAATATCCCACATATTTACTAACAACATTTTACTGTTAAATTGTGTATTATTTGCAGTTTTTGCTGTGATATGATAATCACTTTGTCATCATCATAATTACAGACCATTATAAGTCCAATGTTAAACTGGTTACTCCCAAAGAATGCCATAAAGTGTGGTCCTTAGCCACCAGGATCCATGAACTTTCTACATCTCTACTAGGCTGTTACTTCATCTAAAGTGAGGCTTTATTTATGTGGTAGAGTGATGCTGCAGTTATATTAGTAGTATAGTTGTAGCATGAATGGGTCGGCTCGACCGGGGAGGGACCACACTCTTACAGAATACCAACGTCAAATAGTAGCTTAATGCTGCTCTGTTTTGTATGGTGATTGTAGAAAACCGGAGACCCTTTTTACTGGAAACGAGGCATTCCATGTTAGTCCTCACCGGTGACAATGCATCTGCATTTTGATTCATAATTGAGGATAGATGCAGATGTCTATGGGCCACAGCATCCACTTACCATCAGGTGGGCTGTGTGCTCTTTTGTCACCCTATCCTACAAAAAAATCTGTAGATGGCTGCCACTGGAAAAACTTCTTGTTCAATAAAATGAAAATGAAAATCGATGCTACAATTACTGCAATAAATGTTTTTATATTATATTCTATAAAATGCAATAGTAAAGTACCACCTATATAGGATCATCTCCCGTTTATGAAAGGTTTACATATACAGCAAATTTATTTTACTGTGATATATTATTAGCAATATGTTACGAACCTACAGCATAGTATAGTTGCAGCACAAGTTGCAAAATTAAAAATGTACAACTGATCATGTAAAACCCGACTTCAATATAGTTAAAATGAGAACATCATCAATGTAGTTGAAGTCAATTAAATATGCATTATTGAAGATAGCTCAAAAAATATTGATCAGATCTTAAAGTGCCAACTTTCACATTAAAAAAAGAATCATCAAAATCGGTTCACCCAGATAAAAATTTTTAGTTAACACACATTAAAAAAAAAGCGACAGTAGCCTAATGGCAGAGCGAACTCAAAAAGGTTGTGGGTTCGAATTCGCCATTCGACTACTGGGGTGAACCACTCGTAACACAAGCAATTTAAGCTTACCACGAGTGGTTAAGGGGAATATTAGTAATGTTTATAGCATTGTTAATATTCTTTAAAAAAAAGAAAAAATAATAAAGAAACATACAGTCGAATAAAATATCTCCTTCTTTTTGAAGTCTGTAAAAATTGGTTTTGATTGAGCAGGGAAAAACCATGCTTGCAATATTTTGAAAATACATTAGATATTTTAATTTGTAAATAAATAACTAATTTCTAACAAAATATCCTACTAATCATTGACAGCCCCGTCAATCTTGACATTCGGTGATACATAAAGTTACAACAAGCTGATAATCGGTAAAATTGTTCAAAATATAATTATAAATAAAATTTCCCCACCATTCCTGTGTATGAAAAATATTTTAGTCAAGGTTAAAGGTCAAAGAAATTAGTTTTTCGCAATTTTCAGCAAAACGGTAAGTTTTATCATAAAAATAACACAGACAAAAGTTGTAGATCATAAAATTATCTACAAAAAATGTATCAATATTTTTTTTCCTACGAGATACTGTTTCTAAGATATTAAGATTCAAAAAGTTGTAAAAGATATAAACGTCATAATATGCTCACATTTCTACGCTACCTATAAGGTAGTGTATACATATATGAGGTTCTGTATATAAATCTCAGAAACGGTGGCTCGTAGGAAAAAAGTATTGATACATTTTTTGTAGATAATTTTATGATCTACAACTTTTGATTGGGGTATTTTTATGATAAAACTTAACGTTTTGCTGAAAATCGCGAAATACAATTTTTTTTTACTTTTGACCTTGAGTAAAATATTTTCTATACACAGGAATGGAAAATATTTTACTGTGGGGAAATTTTATTTATAGTATTAGTTATATTTTGAACAATTTTACTGATTATCAGCTTGCTGTAACTTTATATATCTTCACTCTTATTTTCTGATCTAATTTGATTGGACTAAGATTAGTAAAGTAAATACCTAGATGCATAACAGACAATACCCAAATACTACCAGTGTAATCTAAATAAATTAATGTGCTCTCAATGATATTATTTAAAAATATGTCAATTTTCAATAAATATAAGGCAACTACAGACCCCTCAACACAGCATTTAAAAGTATATAAGTTCAATATACTTTAAAGATATGTCAAGATGTCATTTTTATCAATTACAGTTAAATGCAGGATGTATGTGGACTTTTATCTTAAGTGCTTTACGTAATGCCAACCATAGAAATGTGATAAAAGGATAGTTAAGAAATTTAGATAAGCCTTTCTTTATTATTATATTTTACTGCATGGTAACTTGTGTGATATGAATATGTTAATTTTTCTGGATTGTACACCAGTCCAGTAGACCAGATATATATATATATATATATATATATATATATATATATATATATAATAAAGGTTACAAACAAGTACACAGTCCACCTTCACCACCACTATATACTTCCACCTTCACCACTTCTATCCTCAATTAAGAATCAAAATACAGATATGTCGCACCCCTGAGGGCTAAGATGGAATACCTTATTTCCAGTAAAAAGGGTGTTACAGCAATTAGGGTGACAAACAAACACACAATCCATCAATGGAAAGTGGATAATGTAGCATAATACAAACATATTGTCAATCCTAAGGACTTAAATGAAATATTATAGAAAGAATAAACAGATCTTTGGTTCTATATTATTCATACCCAGTCAAGCTAACCTATATTCATACTGCAGATTATGTAGTAGGATATTTATTAATGCAGGTGGCTCAAAACTTTATTGAGACAATTTATTGGAAGCTGTTATCACAAGACGAGCTGCAACAGTATTGATGATGACTTTTTATCTTTTGAACTTTATAAAATCATGTATAGTTTTAAGCACAAGAAAAGTTTGTATAAATCACATCTTATGTACAGAAAACTTATCGTAAATTACGTAGCCTTTCAAACGAATGTCTTATTACAATGTTCGTTCACCAGCTATGATAAAAATATAAATATTAAAAGATTTATAAAGAAACATGTTTTATATTTCGTCAGGCCGTGAAAGAAATAAATAACAGTCACAATTAGGTCAATCACCCGCTGTTTACAAACCATTCGCGCTTTACGCTTGCACACAATTTTTGAATATAAATTCTCGACAATATTTGTAAATAACTTTTAAGTATTATAATTTTTTAACTACGTACCCTCTCTCGCTTTCAAGTATACAGTGTTCGCAACAATATTCTCCAATTCCATCAGTTCCAGTGTGACGGATTTTAATGTAGACCTTCCAGGAAGCAAGTCCCCGCCGGTGCGGCCTCTCTGCCGCCTTTTCCCTCAACGCAATGCAGCCCATCAATGTACTACGCGTGATCTTACACTAAATTCAACACTACACAACATTAGCCCAGTCACCGATCTCTGTAACACTCCACGCGAAGGAAACAGGGCCGTAACGGCAGAAACGCAAGTTCATAGGGGTGTGACTACAAGAAAGAATGCTCGCATTTCAATTTAACGATATCAAAGAGAGGATACAACTGCTCATAGATGTTCCTAGCAAAGTAAGCCGGTTAGTTTATTTCAATTTTACGAGTTACTGAGAACACGCCCCAGGTTTGTAGCGAGTTATTGACGACGTACGGGAATACGATACAAATTACCACACGGTATAAGATATTTCAGTTGCCATATTACCGAACGTAATTACTACTATATCAACTTAGGGTAAATACTAACGAAATTTATTTTATAATACGAATGACATAATTTATGTATTATAATCTAATTTGGAATCAGGCAGTCAAAATAATAAATATATGTAATAAATCTATTATATACATTTATTATTATATATGCCTCAGTATTTTGGTCGGTCGGCCCTCGGTTCGAATTCCGCATCGAATCAAAAATCAGAGAAGATTGTCTCAATAACACTATCATTCTAAAATGTATATTCCTAGATAACATGAAGTTCACTTAATGGATTGAAGGAGCACATGGAATTCTTCAACCTAAAGCATTATATATAGAACAACGCTGTGTCTATCTGTGAAAAGTTATAAAAGATATTTTCTAAGTACTTTAGTTATATACCGTAAATTCAATACCTGCTAATCTAAATATTATCGTTTATGTTTAAGGGCATGATTGTATAGATAAAATGTTTATTGTATCAATACCTACCAAACAAATAAGAAATCTCCCAGGATGTGCTGATCCCGCACGCCACCACCACCATATAGATTTTAAAATTATGTAATAATCAAATGAATTATGTTATTCTTAGAAATGAGTAAGTTTCTTGTAACTACATATATATGAAAAAAGTAAATCAATATAATTAATTTAAAAAAAAAACCTTTTTTTACTCCAAAATCATTTTGTTATAGAGCACATTGTTCATCTGATGGTAGGTGGATGCGATAACACATAGACTTACATAGGATTCTACATTTATCTTCGATTAGGAATCAAAACGCAGATGCGTTGTCACCCCTGAGGATTAAGATGGAATGCCTCGTTTCAAGTAAAAAAGGATCTCCGATTCTCTACACTCACCATACGAAACACAGCAGTATTAAACTGCTATTTACGCCAGTATTTCCCCGGTCGAGCTGACCTATTCGTACTACAATCATAATATAGCTACAGCGTGGCTCTGCCATAATTTTACATTGCATTGCATAATTAGTTATTTCTATGGATTCAGTCTTAAATAAATTATTAATATAATATTATTTTTAAAAGAATATCCCGAAAATAAATTTTCGGTAACTCTTTCGTTATGGCAAGGATTGCGATGTCACTTTTGCAACAATGTGGCAGTCTGATATTTTCATAGATCTGCTATACCTATAGGTATTTTATTTCATACCCGACTCATACTATGAGGATAATTGCCAGTGAAAAATAATTATTTATAAACACTGTATAGTCCACAGAACACTATTACTCCTACCGGAGGTATAGTCTGTCAAGAAAGTCGTGAAAAGAATATTTTTGGAACCAGTGCTTTTGCTTTTACTGGCAACAATAAATTATTGTCAAACTAAGTAACTCAGCTGTCATCTGTCATAACCGTCATAACGTAGTTTTCATGGAGTATAGAGGTAAGGAGGACAATCTCCCATAGGAAAATAATTGAAAATGTGTCCATCCGTAAGCAGTAAATAACAGTTCAAAAACTCTCCACAACAGCGCTCGAGTAGCTACAGGATATGATAAATCGCCGTAAAATACGTTGAGAGTGATTTTGAAAGTAAATTTAAACCCAAATTACCACTTTTTAACAAAAAAAACCGCCAAGCCCAAAATTTTAAAAGCAATAAAATAATTATTGTAAAAAGAATTATGGTGAAAGACTGTGCAACAAAAAAGTTATGAAAAGTTCTTTAAAATTTAGACTGTAGCTACAGTGGCACCACCCTTATTTAACGCTTTCCTACGTACACTTTTTTATACAATCTGTACTCCTTACACTCCATAGTAGCTTTGTAGTTGATGCGCTCTAAGATTTTTGGATTATTTAGAGTTTTTCTTACCGTATGACCGTTTAGCAAAAATGAAAGAAACGCAGTGTTATAAGAGCGATATCATACAAGTCATATTTAAAGTGTTTCAAGGGCGTATGGCTGAATTTCAGGCGGGAACATTTCTTTTCGATTCAGACGATGTTTACGGTCGAACAGCAAAGATAACTGGTACGTACATGTATTTTAATGTTAAACACAATAAAGAAACTGTAATCTCATATCTATCATTTGTTTTTAAGTATAATTTATCCGTTTTATAACATTGTGTACATATAATTGAGGTTTTGAAATTTATCTAAGAATTATACTACACAGTCAATAGTTTTGATTCTTTTGCACTATGTATTTAGGTATGAATAAGGTGTTTATTATTTACATGCGTATATTGGTGTCAGATGTTTCCGAAAGCACAATTTGGCGCATAGTGGACGAAGGTATGCAGAATGGATGTAAATTCGTCACGCCCGGAAAACACAGGCAAGGCCGACGACCTAAGAAACAGATCGATGATTTCGATCTATGTACCATTCGTCAAAAAGTTCATTTTTTTTAGACAGCGCAGAAAGAAGTGCCTTTTTTAACATGGGTAAACGCCTACGCATTCCCCCTCGCGGGGGCAAGGGCGAGTTATGTTGGACTCGCACCGAGTAAAACTACATGGTGTTCCACCTTCGTCGCATATTGGGAGGGCCACGGTAACGTTTTCGCACACATCCGCGGAACCACAAGAGGACTACTCCTCCCCGTTCTCCTTTCCAGGTAAGGCGCATCAGAACACATGGTGCACCTTCCTCCACGGCCTCCAACTAAACCTGCGCAACCGATGCCCCCGTGTTCAATGCGCGACGGGGGGGGGGGACGAGTACTTAGAAGCACTAGCCTTCCCAACCCCAGCGGCGGATCTAGTCGATGGCTCCACCGCCAAACAAGATTCGGCTGCGGAGGATAGGGAGAGCGGCGCCTCGCAATACCAACACTCCTCTCCCCCCGCAGCCCCACCAACACCGCATCAACGGTACGGCCCCGTTTGAGTCGCGGAGAATAGGGCGAGTGGCGCTTCGCCATACCAAAACTCTTGTTCCTCCGCGATTCCACTTCGGCTGCAGCGATAGGGGGAGAGGACAACCCTCTCGCCGCAGCCCACCTGCACACCTCCGAAGTGGGATCGCCAAGCCCACTCGGAGTGGCCTCCTCGGGCCAGCCCTTCACCTCGGGCCGTTCCTCTTTGTTCACCGTGGGTGAAAAAGCCACGGCTACTAAGCCGTTTGGGGGAGGGGAGGGGGGGGGGAAAGAAGTGCCTACACTTACAAAACTATTACCAGTGGTGAAGGAAGAACCATGAACTTTTAAGACAAGTTTTAATTTCTATTGGCTTTGAATTTAAGAACTGCTAACCAAACAGATTGGTTCTAATATAACTATTATTGCTTCAACACGTGAGTATTATTAGCTCATCCTTGAAAACAGAAGATTGCCTAAGGAGCTCCAAAAAAAATTATTTATTTAGATGAGAGCTAGAGACACGAGTCCTACAAAGCAATTAAATGTTGGCAATGTATTAATATTTCTGGTGTCTCATAAGATGTATCTAAAGGGAAAAGATGGATAATTGTGAATTGTAATGTTGATATTTACTGGTAAAAACAAGCAAGATGACAACCATTCTGAGATGAACGCTCATAATTTTACAAAATGGGTAACTGAAAAGTTAGTGCCGAACATAACTGAACTATCAATAATTGTGATGGATTAGCCATACCACTCCATTATAACAAACAGGTATTAAAATATTTCTTTCTTATACTTTATTTTTGTTTTACATTATTAATTTATTACTTAACTTTTTATGTTGCAACTGAAAATCAAGTTTTGAATTAAGTTGTTTTTTTCCCCAGACACCTACAGCTGCATCAAAAGTTTTTGAAATCAAATTGTGGCTACTTGAAAATAATATTCCATTTGATGAAACGTTGCGGAAACCATCCTTATTGACGCTTGTTAAAAAACATAAACCAGAACCGGTGTATTATATTGATGAACTCCTAGGGGAATATGGAAATACAGTGGTAAGACTACCACCCTATAATTGTGATCTGAACCCCATTTAAATAGTTTGGGCAATGGTAAAAAGGCGAATTGCACAAAAGAATGTTAGTGGTCAAGGTGTTGCGAAGTGGGCTGCAGAAGCATTTCAGTCAGTAACTCAACAAGAATGGAAAAATTGTGTTGACCATGTCATCAAAATAGAAAATTAATATTTTTCCCGTTCAGAATCTCTGTATAATGATATAGACAAACTTGTCATTTCAGTAAGCAATGATAGTTTTGGTGAATCTGAAGAGTCAGAAATGGACCAATTTAATTACGCAGGAGCTTCAGGCAACATTTCGGGAGTATAATACCTCGACTCAGATTATTTGAACTCAGATTAATAATCAAAATATAATAACTATGTATCAATTTTTTTTTTGTTTTATTTCTTACCTTGTGTGTCTGCTGTCTGTCAAGGCTGGTCTTGTGTAAAACCTGCTTTTCTTAATTACTTGTAAGATACACAGTCAAATTATCTCAATTATGTAGTATGTGAATTTAGCTAATTACTGTTGCTGGTATGGAAAAGGGTCAAGGGTTACGCATACCAATAAAGGCATGCACTTGAAAAAATACGACTGTAAAGGGACCATAATAATAAATCAGTTTATAAAATAAAAAGTATCAAAA